ATAAATAAATAAATAAATAAAACTAACTACACCCAGTTCAATCAAACCCTTGGAAAAGACCCGCGACACAAAGAAAAACCAATAGGAAATTAATACACTACCTAACACGATAAAATCTTTTTGTCTTTTTCTTTAAACTTTAATCGCTCAAGAAACCCGTTGAATGATATCCATCGTCGGGAAAAATCGAAAGTTTTAAATTTTTTATGTATTTTTGTTTTTTATTCTATCTCTAACTACTGCAACTAACAACAACAAACTATACAAAACACATATACATACAACATACAAATATTCCCCACCTCACACTTTAAATAGTGGCATGTCCCCATGCCACACAAAAAAAAAATACAAAGGTGAAAAAAACTCCCCTGATCAAGTCAGTTTGTATCAGAGACGGTTCCAGGGTCCAGATGACAAGCCCGGCCAAGTGAACGTAACCATGACACGATCTTCCTCTCAGATTTGGCATTATGTGTAGCAAGGGCGTCCACTCGAGCCCCCAAGTCAGTGATAGAGGTACGCATCCCCACCATTTCCTACTCCAAAGCGCCCATTCTTGTTTCCCAACCGCCACCTGAAGTTACCCCAACACCCGACTCATTCGGTGGAGAAACAGCGACATCCTCATTGCCTTTTTCGGGTGCATCAGATTCCTCGCTATCCGCCTTAGTGGGCCCAGCAGGGTCCTTCTCGATCACAACTTTATCACCCTAGAATTTATGTTCGCGCTTTACTTTTCCATCCATGTCCCTATTTTCCGGTACTCGTGTCCCCCGGCATAACGGAGTGACTAATGATGGGAAAAAGAACCCATACCTTTGCACATGACATCGAATTCACATCTCGGCTTGAAGGATTTAAGCCACATCAAAATCGTGGCCATTGACAAAGCATCAAATTAGAGCCGCCAGAGGACCATTCACCTCAGTGGTGTTTCCTGAAGGCAGCAGGCGGTTATTGATAATGTAAAGCCAACACTTTCCTTCAAAGGTCAGCGAAGCCGAGTGAAATTTTTGCCCCTCCTTTATCCACACTACCTCCTTGCTAGGTACACAAATGGTTGAGAAGTACAGGCGCCACAAATATGGTTCTCTGTTGTACGTGGAATAGTAGTCAACTATATCCGGATCTTCCACGAATTCCGGGAAATGATAAGCCCTTCGGATGGCCTCTTTGGAGAAGTCCACTCTTTTCTTCCTGACTGTGCAGACATGGGCATCATGTTCCGGTCAGTTTTCATAAAACTCCCAACAACCATTAAGTTCGCTTCGTTAGGTTCTTCAAAGAAATCCTCAAGTTGCGCCTGACCAATTCCTGATACACACAGGGACATTCATTCTGGAGGGACCCAATATAAAATCCCCTCTCTGAAATGGGCTTTTTGCTTGCCTTTTGTTGGAATCGTTCTTGGGATTCCTAAGAAACAAATTTGTTCTGATCATACATGCGAGCAGAAGCCAAAGCTCGGGACCGGGATGTGCGCGCTTGACCACTTGTGGAGGTACCTATTGTTTTTTGTTTCTTGGATGGCGCCATAGTACCTGAAACAAACTGCCAACTATTAGCTAATGAATCACATGGTGAACTAAGAGAGGCTACTCAGACTTCACCCTTACACTTGGTCACAACATTATACCCACAATCTCATTGAGGCAATTACACAAACACATAACAAGTACAGTTCTTCCTAACCCCCCACAAATCAATTTCACCCCTAATTAGACCAAGGATACACCAATGTCACACCCAACCACTATATGTTCAGTCTCCATGTTGAAACTTGCCTTCCACCCCACAAGAAAAGGAGCATAAAAAGAAAGAAAACAAACATAAAAATCAGCTAATACCCAAGAAAAATATAATACAATAAACTAAGAAAAGAGAGAGAGAAATCATCTCACTTACCTGAGGGGATTTGGGAGAGAAAACTCATGAGATTAGGTGAAGGGAGAAGAGAAGGGGGTGGTGCGGTGATGTTTTTCTTACAGAGAGGGGATGATATGGGGGGCTAACTCCCTCGGTGCGCGGTAGGTGTGCATTCACCCCATCAGATGCGCGGCCGCGCACATCCCGCTTCGTATAACATTTCCTGTTGCGTGACCTGGTGCGCGAGGTGTCCCCCCAGGTGCACGGTCGCGCACAGATACACTCAAAAGGGGTCTTTTAGACACCTTAATTCCTACCTTCCGCGACATGTACCTTCCTGCACCTACCACATCATACTATACACTAATTTTCCCCTATTCAACACTATAAATAAAAGAGAAAAATCTAACTAATAGAAGAGTTAGAAGTAGTTCTGAGTTATAGTCGTCAGCTTGACTCAACCGGGCATCCTCAACTGATTTTGATGCTCGAGGATTGCTGAGCAAACCCTCCAGCAAGATACGGTTTTAGTTTGTGCCCATTCACTTTGAAACTTTCCATTTCGTCCTGGTTCTGGATCTCAATTGCCCCATATGGTGATACATGTTTCACCACATACGGTCCCGTCCATCTAGACTTAAATTTTCCCGGAAAAAAATCTGAGTCTACTATTGTACAGTAACACTCTATCCCCTTCATGATACTCTTCTAGCTTAATCAGATGATCATGCCACCTTTTAGTCTTTTCCTTGAAAATCTGCACATTTTCATACGCATCCAGTCTAAACTCCTCCAATGCATTCATCTACGCCAACCTATGTTCACTTGCAAGACTAAGATCAAGATTAAGCATCTTAATTTTCCAATAAGCTTTATGTGCTATCTCAACAGATAGGTGACACGATTTTCCATACAGTAGTTTAAATGGTGAAGTCCCTATAGTTGTTTTGAACGCAGTTCTGTACGCCCATAGAGCTTCTTCCAACTTTACCGACCAATCCTTACGAGAAGCACTAACAGTCCTTTCTAGAATTCGTTTAAGTTCACGGTTAGCCACTTCGACTTGCCCACTAGTATGGTCATGGTACGGGATTCCCATTTTATGTGTGACCCCATACTTGGACAGCAGTGCAGCAAACTGCTTATTCATAAAGTGTGACCCATTGTCACTGATAATCACTCTAGGTGTCCCAAAGCGGGTAAAGATGTTTTTCCTTAAGAATTCACACACCACCCGAGCATCATTGGTCCTAGTAGGGATTTCTTTGACCCACTTAGACACGTAGTCAACAACTACTAGGATATACTTATAAGAGTGTGACGATGGGAACAGACCCATGAAGTCAATGCCCCAAACGTCAAAAATTTCACATACCAGAATGCAGTTGAGAGGCATTTCGTCCCTCTTGCTAATATTACCTGCCCTTTGACACTTGTCACATGTAGCTACATATGCTCTCGCGTCTTTGTACAAGGTAGGACAAAGAAATCGGCTTCCATTACCTTTGCAGTGCGATTCCTGCCATAGTGTCCTCCAACTGCTCCATCATGGCAATGAGACAGAATGCTTTCCATTTCGCCTTCAGGTACACATCTTCGAATCACACCATCTGCACACAATTTAAACAAGAAAGGGTCATTCCAAAAATAACATCTTACCTCCTCACCTTGCAACTTCTTTTTCTGATCTGAGGTTAAGTTGTACGGTAGCCACCCACTAGCCAAGAAGTTGGCTATGTCGACGAACCATGGTGGTCTATTAGAAACTGCTGCAATGGAAAAAATCTGCTAATCTGGGAACTCTTCCCGAATATCCACCGCTTCAACAGATAGTTTCTCCAATCGCAACAAGTGGTCAGCCACTTGATTTTTCGTGCCCTTCGTGTCCTTGATTTCTAGATCAAATTCTTGCAACAACAATACCCACCGCATCAGACGTGGTTTGGAATGTCTCTTACTCAGCAAATATTTCAGTGCTGAGTGATCAATATGCACTATTATCTTGCTTCCCACCAAATAGGATCTGGACTTGTCGAAAGCAAAGACTACTGCAAAGAACTCCTTCTACGTGGTAGCATAGTTCACCTGAGCATCATTCAAGGTCTAGCTTGCATAGTAAATGGGTCAGAATAGTTTATCTCTCCTCTACCCCAACACTGCTCCTACTGCCACATCACTGGCATCACACATTATCTCAAAAGGCTCACTCTAGTTAGGAGTCATCATTATGGGGGCACTCACTAGCTTCTCCTTGATCAGTTCGAATGCTCTGAGATACTCTACATCAAATACAAATTTTACATCCTGGGCAAGTAATGCAGTCAAGGGCTTGGTAATGCTGGAAAAATTCTTAATGAACCTTCTATAGAAACCGACATGCCCCAAAAAACTCCTGATGCTTTTCACTAAGGTCGGTAGCGGGATCTTGGCTATCGCATCTACTTTAGCTCTGTCAACTACAATACCTTCAGTTATGACTTTATGGCACAGGACTATCCCCTCCTTAACCATGAAGTGACACTTTTCCCAGTTGTGTACTAGGTGAGTGTCCTCACATCGTTTCAGAACAAGTTCGAGGTTCCTCAAGCAATCTTCAAAGTCATCTCTAAAAAGAGTAAAGTCATCCATGAACACCTTAAGATACTTTGCATTTAAATCTGAAAATATTGACATCATGCATCTCTGGAAAATAGTTGGTTCATTGCATAGTCCGAAAGGCATTCTCCGGTATGCGAAGATTCTGGACGGGCATGTAAAGGTGGTTTTCTCAACATCATCAGGAGCAATAGGTATTTGATTGTACCCTGAATATCCATCTAAAAAGCAATAACATCCATGCCCTGCCACCTTCTCCAACATCTGATTAATGAAAGGAAGAGGGAAGTGATCCTTCCTTGTTGCATCATTTAATCTCCGGTAGTCAATGCACATCCTCCACCCAGTAACTGTTCTAGTAGAAATTAGCTCGTTGTCCTCATTTTTTACCACTGTCATGCCCCCTTTTTTGGCACAACCTGAACAGGGATGATCCATTGACAGTCAGAGATGGAAAATATTATTCCTACATCCAGCAATTTGAGTATCTCTTTTTGAACCACCTCCTTAAGATTTTTGTTCAATTTGCGCTGGGGCTACACCACTGGTTTACTCCCTTTTTCTAACAAGATCTTGTGCATGCAGATTGTAGGGCTGATCCCCTGAATATCGGCTATACTCCAACCGATTGCCTTTTTATGCTTTTGTAGTAACTCCACAAGCATGTGTTCCTGTTCACCTGTCAATTCAGCAACAACAATCACAGGAAATTTGTTAGTCTCCAAAAAAACATATTTGAAATGTGTCGGGATTACTTTCAATTCCAGCTTCGGCTTGCTCTTTTCTTTCTCGAATTCTTCTTCATCTACCACCTGGTTCTCATTTTCCAGTGCCTCAACTTCCTTCTTGATCTCAGTATCTTCATCCTCTATTGTGCTTGATTGACTAATGCATCTCTCTAGTGAGTCACCTACTAGCTTATCCAGTTTGTGCTGTTCAGCTAACTCTCCCACCATATCTAGCTTGAGACAAGCATAGGCAAATGCCTCATCACATGGGTATTTCATCATTCTCTTCATTTGAAACACTATTTTTTTGTTTTCCACTCGTAGCATGAGTTGCCCCTCATATATATCAAGAATAGCCCGGCCAGTGCAAAGAAATGGTCTCCCCAGGATTAGAGGTACCTCCTTATTCTCTTCCATATCTACCACGATGAAGTCTACTAGGAAAACAAATTTGTCTACCCTTACCAGAATGTCCTCGATTATGCCCTCTGGTATGATCGTGGTCTGATCAGCCAGTTGCAAGGATACTGGCATAGATTTGATCACTCCTAGCTCTCCTTCCAATATCTTGAACACCGATAATGGCATCAAGTTAATGGATGCTCCTGAATCGCACGAGGCTTTGTCAAAAGTTTCGCTACCTAACGAGCAAGGTATAGTGAAATTGCTAGGATCCCCACACATCTTTGGAATTTTTTTTTGTATAATGGCACTGCAGTAGGCATTGAGTTTGACCACTTTCGTTTTCTCGAGCTTCCTTTTGCTTGAGAGGATTTCCTTTAAGAATTTTGCATAGACTGGCATCTGTGTGAGAACCTCCATGAACGGGATGTTCACATACAACTGTTTCAGCATCTCCAAGAATTTTCCAAAGCATTTGTCTAATTTCTCCCGCTTCATCTTTTGAGGAAAAGGTAATAATGACATGTGCTTGCTTTCCTCAATTGTGTTGTTCACCTTCTGATTATCAACATCCTTGCTGCTTACATTCTCCTTGGGCAAAGACTCATCGATTTTCTATTCTTCAGCTATCTTGGTTGAGTTGATCTCCTTCTCATCCCTTGGTTTTACCTTTGGCTCTGCTAATATTTTCCCACTCCTGAGAGACACGACTATGATTGTCTCTTTTGGATTGCTTTCAGTGTCTGCCGGCAAAGTCCCCGGCGCCCTTTCTGACAATAATGTTGCAAGCTGCCCAATTTGTCTTTCCAGATTTCGGATGGTTGTGCCTTGCTCCCTGATAGCGGTCCCTTGAGTCTCAAGTTTCTTATTGGATTTATTTATAAATGCCTTCATTAGATCTTCTAAACTTGAGTTGTTAGGCTGTAGAGGTTGATATGGTTGCCTCTGTTGAGTTTGGAAACCAGGAGGTCCTTGCACTGGTGCTCTGGGATTTTTCTGCTGCCAGGAGTTCAAACTACCAGTTGAAGAACTCCATGAGAACCCTGGATGTCTCTATCCCAAAGAATTGAAATTACCACCTCCTTGGTAGTTGCCTCTGTTGAAGTTCCCCAATGCGTTGACTTCCTCGGCTGTAGCTTGACACTCATGTGTCGGGTGTCCCAATCCAAATATGTCACATCCCACATGTGGTTGATTTTGCACCAGAGCTAGCGTCAGTAGCTTGATGTCCTTAGCCATAGCTGTAATTTGGGCCTGCATTGCTACCGACGATTCTACTCGTTGCACCCCTGCTAATCTTGTTTGGTCCCCTTGATCAGTGGACCATTGTTCTACGTCTTCAGATAGTTCATTCAGAAGAGTGACAATCTCTTTAGGAGTTTTCTTCATCAGAGGACCTGCAACCGCACTATTCAGCAATCTCCTTGATGACAGGTTTAAACCGTCCCAGAAGTCCTAGAGTTGCATCCATCGCTCCATTCTGTTATGAGGGCACCTCCGCAATAACTCCTTGAATCTTTTCCATGCCTCGAACACTGTCTCCCCATCACTTTGGCTGAAATTGTGAATCTCTTTCCTCATTCGTCCAGACATAGCGACAGAGAAATATTTTTCTAAGAACTTGGTAGTCATCTCCTCCTACGTACGGATTGACCCAATGGGCAGACTTCTCAACCACTACTTTGCATTATCCTTATGAGAGAACGGGAATGCTATGAGGTAGATGGCATCATGTGATGCTCCATTGTAACGGAATGCATTCATAATTTCGTCAAAGTCCATCAGATGGTTGTTGGGATCTTCATTGGGTTTCCCTCTGAATATGCAATTATTCTGAATGGTCTGGATGACTCCCTGTTTGAGTCCAAAATTATTGGCATCAATGGGTGGGAGTCTCACACTAGACTATTGTTGGTAGTATACCGGTCTGGCATAATCTCCTAATGACCTCCCAGGTGTAGGAGTTGCATTTTCAAATTCATCTTCTATCACGTTTCGATTGGGATTGAACCTTCGTTACCCGTTGACCGTTTCATCCGTAATTCTGGCTGCTTCAGCTGCTAACTGTGCTTCCCGTTGCTGAGCCGCCTCTCTCACAACTAGGTCCACTACCTCTTCATTGTTTACCATTGTATTTTGAGTTGAAGGCTGACCCAACAACAATCCACTCAATCCTTTCTCTCTTCTCAACTTCCTCAGGTGCTTGTCTAACTCTGGGTCATATGGAACCAAGTCCTTTGAAGAGGATTGAGTCATACACCGCTGAACTTAACTTGTTGCCTGCACACAGATGAGAAGAGCGTAAAAAGAAAAATAAAATAAAGTTGTTCCTGAATTAGCACTGAAAATTAATTTAAACACTATTAATCGCCAATCCCCGGCAATGGCGCCAAAATTTGACGAGCGCAAAATACACACATAAATATGCTCGCTAGTCGAATATAGTATAATATAATATCGTATCCATAGGGATTGGATTTAAACAGTATTATCATAATTTGTAGCTATATTACTATCCAAGATGATTAACAATTTAGATTTATGTGATTTAAAACTAAAATTAACTAAGAGTCTAACTTATTGACGAATGACACTTGAACAAAAGTAAGCAAGGAAGATATCAATGGGAGAAAATAGGAATTGATTGGATAGGTGCAAGATAAATGTCTGGGAATTAACTCTAGTTAATTCACTTCTAATGTTCAAGTAAGTCTCTCGAATTCACTTAATTATCAGTTCAAACGTTTAGTAGAAACTCCTCTCTCGATTAAGTCTCAACCTCACAATATGAACCAATTTAAGCTCGGTGAAGATATGCAAGAATTCGTAGTGGATTGGTCTTTAGGAGAACCTCTCTCGACTATCCTCCTAACTAGGTTTAATCAATAATTCAACTAGCCTCTTTCGGTGACTAGGAAGAATTAATGAACTCAACCAACAATATAATGCAATGATATCACAAGTTATGCCTCTCTCGATTACATGAACATGTGAATATAGATGCAATAATTAAATCATCAAAATCGATTCACTAAATAAAAACTAGAGTTATAATCCACAAGCATACAATACACCAAATCCATCAAACCCTAAAGAGAACTACTCCATAGATATGGAGTAATTTGTCACACTATTGTCGTCACCGAGGATTGAATGATGAAATGCTTGTGCTCTTGCTTCTACCACTTCTCCTTAGCCTCCTTAGGTCTTAGATGTGTCAAATCTCCAGAAATAATATTTTTCCATGTATACATACCAAGTAGGGTCGGGACCCAAGCGAAAACATCTTTTTCTACGCGAAATAGGACACTTTCCGGCATTGGACGTGCGTGGCCGCGCACCTAGGAGTGTGCTTGTGCATATGGCCGCGCACCTAGGAGTGTGCTTGTGGATATGTCCGCGCACTTTGGACAATATTCTGCCTAACTTGCGTGCCCAGTGCGCGCTCGCACACCTGTGTGGCCTCTGAACTTTGCCAATTTCTGACATAAAATTACACTACTACGTCGCACTAGTGTATTTTTTCAGCAGTTGATTCTTCCTTGAATTTTGACATCCAACAGTGATCCTCGACCCCCGAACACGATCCTGGCTTATTTCTTTGGGCTTTTACTCAGACTTCAAAGCTCCAAATAACTAGATTTAGTTCCACAATATCTATATAGCTCGAAATCACTCCTAGAAGGCATAAAATACATAATTAGTGCAAAACACTAGCGATTGAAAGCTCAACTCAATTAAAGTGCGATAAGAAACTAAAACACACAATTATAGCCTACCATCAACGTATCTTTGAAAATGATGGTAGAGTCTGGATGATGGTATGGTTATGAGGATGGTCATAAAGACCAAATGAATGTACCAAGCTAGATTGACATATCTTTGAAAAGGATAGTAGAGTCCGGATAATGGTATGGTTATGAGGATGGTCATAAAGACCAAATGAGTATGTGTATTTTGAAAGGTCCAAGGTTCAACACTAGTCAACTTGACTTTAGTCAGACAAAGAGAGCATAATAATGGACAACAAGTAGAGGGCAAATATCAGATAAAGAATACATACGATAGCAGATAAAGAATATACAACACACAATGAAGGGGTAACATACAAAGAATATGTAACAAGTAAAAGATATGGAAGGATTAATCCAGCTAAGCAAGCTACAAGATTATGTGTACAGAGACCTAGGACTTTTAAGAGTAGATTTACCTTGATTCAGACATGAGTTAAGGACAACTGCGAGATGGTACGTAGTTAATCTCGTCTGCCAATCTCTGAAACTAGAGAGTTTTGAAAGAAAGTTTGGAGGGGTGTAAAGTCAACCCTCGCATGACTTGTATGTGATTGTGTACGACCAAGTGTCGACAGAAAGGTGATGACAGTTCAATAAGGGAGCACCAAAGCATATGACTAAGGATATACAACATGGGCATCTGCGAAAGCATATACAATATAGGCATGTGTAAAAGCATATATAACTTGAGCATGACAAAGAATTTACAGTTTGAAGTGTGTGGAATATAATATACAACTTGGAGCAGACGCATTACAAAGAATATATCGCTTAAAGAAGCGAATATACCGCTTAAAGCACAAAATATACAACTTCAAGCAAAGAGTATACAACTTGAAACAAAGAATATACAACATGAAGAATATACGAGTTGTATCATGTGACAAAAAGAATAGAAATTGGAGTATTGGAGTGACAAGCTTGAAACATACACTTAAATTATGCTCGCTAATCAAATATAGTATAGTATAATATCGTATCCACAGGTATTCGAGTTACACAGTATTCTCATAGTCTCTAGCTCGATTGCTATCCAAGATTGATCAATAACTAAGAATCTTAAGCTATTGACTAATGACAATCGAAACAAGGAACAAGCAAAGAAGGTTATCAATGGGAGAAGATAGAGTTTTGATAGGATAGATGCAAGATAATTATTTGGGATCTAACTCTAGATAATTCACTTCTAATGTTCAAGTGAGTCTCTCGAATTCACTCAATTATTAGTTCAAACGTTTAGTATAAACTCCTCTCTCAATTAAGTCTCAACCTCACTAGATGAACTAATTTAAACTCGGTGAAGATATGCAAGAATGCATAGTGGATTGGTCTTTACGAGAACCTCTCTCGATTATCCTCCTAACTAGGTTTAATCAATGATTCAACTAGCCTCTTTCGATTACTAAGAAGAATTAATGAACTCAACCAACAATATAATACAAAGATATTACAAGTTATGCCACTCTCGATTACATGAACAAGTGAATATAGATGCAACGATTAAATCATCCAAAAATGATTCAATACATAAAACTAGAGTTATTATCTACAAACAAATATCAATACACCAAATCCATCAAATCCTAAAGGGAACTACTCCGTAGACATGGAGTAATTCATCATAAATATGATAAAAAGATGGGAAAACATAAATTCAATCCAAACTCGGGTCTTGAGTGAGGAAAGAATGATGAAATCCTCGTG